GCATTAAAGCTGGTTTCCCTCAAGCATAAGCAAAACTAGCATTCTGTTTCTGAGGTTTCCTGGGCTCAGCCCTCTTCCACATCTCTACCCCCTGGGAGACACAGCTGAAATGCTTTCAGAACCTCTCCCCCCAGGGTTAGAGGTAAAAGATTATCCATCTGAAGACCCAGTAGAGGTACGTCTGACATTTATTCATATCTGGCAGAAGGGAGCCAGAGGCTAGAGCCTGAAAAGGAAAACCAACCTCCTGCAAAGGAGAGGCCAGATGGGAAAGCAGTGGGAGGCCTCTCACAGCGGGCTGCGGCTCGGTCCCGTTCTCCCCCAAGTGGCACCAGCGGACCCAGCCGTGCACCCAGGCGCTTTTGCGTCCATCTAACCCCGTGCTGGTAGATGCAAGACATTGCTTCTTTGGACTTGGGATCAGACATGGATTAGTGCCTGGTTTCCTTGGACACATTAGTTAGCCTCTTTAAAGTCATGTAAATCCTACTGGCAAAAAAGAGACACTAGTGCCCGTCTCAGGAAAGCAATGAGCACAGTGCTCGGGACGCAGTTAGTGCTTAAAATACAACAGCTACTATCATTCCTTTTAATATGGTCGGAATGTATCAGGATGCTTCATTATTATGAAATCCATCCGTCGAAGCATCTTGATACTTAGAAAAATGTTCTCATGAATATTAATCCCGGGCTTTGATTAAGAAAGGGGAGAAGTCTCCCCAATACACACTGAGAGGAATCTGTTGGCACTTGTTTTTAGTGTTGTAACTGCAATGGCAAACCCCAAAATGTGTTTACCTCACTTGGTTTAAACTAATCACGTGAGGATAAGCATGAAACACCTTTTTTTAAAGGCTGTTGAAATACTAATCCGGCCAATTTCCTAACATGCAATGTGTGAAGAACACCGTTTCAGAGGAGGTTAGTAATGATTGTTTTTGGAGAGGATGCTCTTCTGGTGATTTTTTTTTTCTACCTCTACATTTATACTTGCAGATCAGCCTGTGCTTAATTTTTTAAAACGATTCCTTGCCTCACCCAAGCAATAAGTTGCCGCTAGTCCCTCGCATCGTGTTTGCAGGTGATGTGTGGTCCTGGGATGAGGGGACTCTGGCTAATAAGGAGTCGTGGGAGATGCTTAGGAGATAATTTCCACAAATCCATCAGGGACTGCTCCAACATTTGGCCCTGTGCAGTTTGGGGGAGCCTCACTGCTGAGCCCTTTTCCCCCTTCTAAAAATGGGAAAAATGAAAGCTATTGCACTGGCCAGAGGAGAGAGCCTTGAACAGTTCCTGGGGGCATCCCAACCCATGTGGTAATCTCGGAAGCCCGAGATTAAGAAATGCTGTACCAGGAGTTTCCATTTGGGAGGTGGAAGAGAGAAGCACAGGGCAGTAGTTTCTGTTTTCAAAGTGTGGTTCATGGGCCTCACATTTGGGGAAGTCACAGCACAAAGCAATGAACAAAAAAACATAATACATTTCATACAGAACAGTGTGATGTAGGTCCTCTGAGAGACCTGAGTTTTAGCCTTCTGCACATGAGAACAAAAGGTCTCTGACTCACACCTACGCCCAGTTTAAACACGGCCTTCAGAGATAAACAACGGCCACAGCTGAGAGCATCTGGAAGTAGGGGATTTCTCCCCCCATCTCACCCATGTGAGGGTCTCCATCTCTGCCCCGGGCCCCATTGCCCTCCTTCCTTGCTGTTCCCACTTTGCACAGTGATGGCAAAAGTTGTGAGTACAGAAGGTGAGGAGAGGCAAAGGAGGGATGAGGACAGAGGAGACTGTCCCTTTCATCCTTGTCTGCCCTCTGGGTGGTCCGCAGGGGAAAGCCTTGCATGCTGATGTGGCAGGAATATAGATACCCCCGTATTCCTTAAGGCATTCGGGTGCCTCTGCAGTCTTCTCTGGGATGCCGTAGGGTGGCCAGGGCGGCGGGGACGGCAGAGCAGAATGTAATGATGCACATGTGGTGGTCCCCACAGGTCTGATGGAATCCTAATCCACCTCAAGATGCTGCGAGAGGCCAGCAGGTTCATCGCCAGCAGCTGCAGGGGGCCCGGGCCGGGCTGGAGGAAGCAGTTAGTGTTTCAGGTGGCAGAGGAGCAGAGCCAGAGTCCAGGGAGCATCAGCCTTGGGGGTGGGGGACAGGGTGGGTCTGGCGGTCCTGAATCTCCTCCTGTGGGTGCTGCATCCTTCCAGCTGCTGTGTCGTTTTAGTGGCATCCGAGCTAAATTCTGACAGTGCATGCAAGTTTTGCAAATTACAGCTTTGTAACTTAGAAAGACTTAACATGAAAAAGTTCAATTATCACTGAAATCCACTCACATTATCATAAGAAACTTACCTCCGTCAATGAAAAAAATAAGACCTACTGCACTTCTAAAATACAATTTCAACTGTTCAAAAATTTTAAAGATTGTAATAGTGGTTTTAAATTGATTACTCACGTGTCTGTACAGTTTCTCATCTGAAGGTTATTGTCAGAAGTTTAAAGAGGTCATTGTTTAAACCTCTTGATGGGTAAATATGTATAGCTGCAACAAAAGCCAGACAGAAAAAAGTTATGCTCATGAAATCAGGCTCAAGTTCCTCTTAACTTCAGAAGTATCTCGGGCTTCCCTGGCGGCGCAGTGGTTGAGATTCTGCCTGCCGGAGCAGGGAACACAGGTTCTTGCCCCAGTCTGGGAAGATGGCCGCCGAGCCTGAACACCTGAAACCTGTGCTCTGCAACGGGAGAGGCCACAGCAGTGAGAGGCGCAAATGTTACTTAAAGCTTTACTGAAATTCAGTATTTAATGATCTTCCTCCAACCCTTTTGTATTTTATTGTTATTATAATTTAAGAAAAAGAAATACATTTTTCGCCAAGCCACATATAGGTATCCCCTACCTTTTTCCAGTTTATCCCAGTATTCTCTAAAAATATTATATTTTTTGAATATGGAGAAGACTGGAAAGCAGTGTCCTGTATTCTATTTATTAGTCTAGAGCCCGTTAAGTTTACATGGGCTGATGCACTGACTGGGTCACCTACCACTGTTCATCGTTTTGGTTCTGTTGAGTAAATGAGCTCTGATTTCCAAACTACAGATGACAAACCTATCATTGTCCCAAGCTGCCAGTGGAGAAAGCCTCTTCAAGTACACTGCAACCTTGCAACTCAGTTTTCAAGTGCATTTTGTTGGGTGCAAACAGCTTCCAGAGCTGTTTTGTAATGTGCTTTAATCAGCCACCTCTGGCTGTGCACACTCCCGCTCCGGTGGTTTCTCCTTGGCAAGTTTAAACCTCACCTGTTCGAGCACGCTGAGCAGTATTGCTTTTGCAAGCCTGTGTAACAAAGTCTTGACGGAGAAAAATGCAAGTGGTCTGCAAACTTTTTCTTTCTCTTCAATTGTCCTCTCTCTCCGGTAATCCGGGTCACCAGATCCAATCTTTGCTAGACTTTAAAAATGTATTTGAGTAAAATCTCTTAATTCACCCCACCAGATGAAATCTGCTACTGCATAAGCAATGAACAGCCAGAGAGAACCCCGCTGGAGCAGCCATTTCACCAGCTCCCTAAAATGCAACTATATTTGGAAGACCTCTATGTAGGAAGTAAGGCTAATACTTAGTTCCCAGAAGATTAGGTGTGGTTTTCATGAGCTCATCAAGGGGGTGGTTCCATGTTTCTATTTTTAAAATTGCTTATAAAGATCATCCTTCGTTGGTCAGAGACAACAGATAGAGGAGAGACGTCTCTCACGTTATGATTAGAGGCAACAACCAGGCCAATCTGGTTCCCAGAGAAAAGGCGAAGGGAGCTGATGCTACAGTTTCAGCCGAGACTGGGATAATCTGCTTTTGAGTCCCGGCCAAATTCCACGGAGTCCGCGGCCAGGCCAGCCGGGCTTCTCCCCGCCTGGGCGCGGGCTGCATCTACCGAGTCAGGGCGGCAGGGTCGCTCCAGGCAGCGCGCCCTCCTGCAAGAGCAGAAGCCCAGTCCCCTGCACCAGGGTCGGGGGGTGGTCCAGCCCTGAGACCACTTGGAAATGGTACTCGCCCCGCGTCATTCATGCCGCTGCACCCTAGTACTTAAAATAATTTGGGGGATGGCTCAGTGTCTCCAGTCAGTCGGCACCGTTTAATTTGCTAGTTGGGCTCGCTTTTACTAAAGTCTCGGGCGTCTGTCAATCCCCTTGTTATCACCAACGCCGCGGGCCCAGAAGCACAAAGAAGTGATGGGCGTTAAGGTCCTACAGCGAGGGCCTTGCTTCTCATCTCAGCTAGCCTCTGGTCCGCCGGCAATTCTCAGATGACTTCCTTGGGTGGGAATAACAATTCACTTTCCGTAGGAGAAACGTGGAGAGACTTCGAGCGGGTCCGCTGCAGTCTTGCCCTTGTGTGCGTGTGAGGGTGCGTGGGCCCGAGACGAGTTTGGGGACGGGAAAGGGCCGGACGCGGACTCAGCGAGGACGTTGGAATCTGGGCTCCACCTGGCACGTCCAACGTCCGGGTCGCCGAGATGCAGAGGGTCGGTGCCTTACAGCGTCTCTCCCTCTTGGGGCTGTCTTGCAAAATGTCCTGATACTCAGGACGTACTGGCAGGCGCGCGGGGCTGGGGGGAGCGTGCGCCGCCTCTCAGTGGGTATCGGCAATGTCCAGCGGAGAGGATTTCGTGGAGAGAGGCGCTGTTTCCCTAGAACTTCCTTCCGGCTTCGCCGCGAGAAAACGCTTTACACTCGAGAAGGAAGATCGCTCTAGACGCACTTGGACCTTTTTCCCCAGCGGGACAGAGAATCCCACACTCGAAGCTGGGGGTTATAGGAGGAGACGGGGCAGATAACACTTTGTAACCGGGCGGTGCCACCAATAACCAGTTCCGATAAAGGCTGCAAAGAGCGAAACCAGGTTTTGCTGGCGGGGACCCCGGCCCTCGTCCAGCGCCCCGTCACCTCCCACGGCAGCCTCTCCCAAGCCCTTAAACTGGGTCGCTGCTGGGGGCCACGCATCACCGCCCTGCGTGTGTGACCTGGACCGAAACCTGAGGGGGGCGGGCCGCGGTTCCGGGAAGCTCCCTGCGCCTCCTGCAGCCCGGCGGGGGCAGCACGCGGCGGCCCTGTTCGCCCCCCCACCCCGAGCACACAGACACACCCTCCGGCATGGGGGGCGCGGGAAAGGGCCGGGGACCCCACAGCAGCGCCGAGGGCGCCGGCACCTTAGAAAATACGAGCTTCCCTCGGCGGCCGGGGGCGGAGGCAGGGTCGCCCTTTCCAGCTCCGCGTCGGGGCGCCCTCTACCCGCCGGCTGCCGGGTCCCCAGGTCGGAGGGAACTCGGGCGTGTTTTTCCAGGCTGTGGGCCGGGGCCGCGCAGCCGGCGGTCTCCAGCTCCGCCCAGCGCCCCGAGGGCAAGCGGGGGGAGGCCGGAATTTCCCCTCGCTGGGGCTCGGGCAGCCCTGCAAGCCGGCGGGCTCTTTCTGTTTACGGAGAGAAAGGGGAAATGGAAGAGGCGGGGAGGCGGCGGCTGGAGTCCGCTGCGCCGCCCCTCGGCCGGCCCAGAAGCTGTGAGTCAGGGGCCGACGAGGGCGGCCCAGGCGCTCGGGAGGCGCGGAGCTCACTCGACCGCTCGGGCCCGGACGGCGCGCCAACGCTCCGGGGCCGGTAGCCCTGGTTCCCGCTCCTGCAGACCCCGGACCTGGGGACCCCGGCGCGCCCGGCTCCCGGGAGCCGCCCGCCAGCTGCGCCGCGAGCCGTCGGGGGACGGCGGCGGGGCCGCGCGGAGGCCGCAGGTAAGAGTTCGGGGGCTCGGGGCTGTCGTTCGATCGCAGCCCTGTTGGGTGCCCCGGCGGTTCGCACCCTGAGGTCCGGGGCGCCCCGGCATCCGGGAGGGCTCCGGGGCCCTGGGAGGGGGGCGGCGTGCCCGTCTCCGGCTGCGGCGCTTCGGGGCTGCGCGCGGGTCGCGGCTGCAGCCGGCGCAGCTGGAAAGCACCTTGCGCAAGGGTCCCACGGGGCGCCGCCCGCGACTCCTCCCCTTTCCTCCTCCTTCCCGGATCCCTAGCGCGCGAGCAGGGCAGGTCCCGGCTTCCCGCCGCGGGCGCCACCCGCAAGGCTGCGCCCTCCCTGCTCAGACCCGGTGAGTGCGCCCCGGAGGCGCGGGGCCCGGCTGCCGCTGGCCCTGGCGATGGATGCTCTTCTCATGTGCCAGTCCTTTAAGTCTCCCTTCGTCTCAAGGACCGGGAGGAAGGAAGGGGAGGGGGTTTAGCAGGGTCGAGAGCCTCCGAGCAACTTCACGCTTGCATCCCGGATCCCATTCTGCGACCAGTAGGGTGGTTATAGCAGAACACGAATGCCGGGCTTTTGGCCTCAGAAAGAATGTTAAGGGGAAAAATGTTATTTCACAGATGTTTCCCCGTGGAAATGCAGTATCAGGATTCCAAAGTTCTAGTTCTAGGTGGAGAACCACGTTGAAAAGGAAGCGCAGCGTCCAGATCGTCCCAAAAGTTAACGGGGAAGGCCGCGAGCTGTCTTTAAGAAAACATTGCAACGTCTGTTTCACTTTTGGAAAGACGTATTTTGGCCCAGAATAAAGGACTGCTCCCGACAAAAACAGGGAAAGAAGCAGTAATATAGTTGCTTTGCCTATCTGTGGCCTGAGGTTTAGGTACTTGCCAAGTAGAAGGTAATTTGAATCGGCAGACGCCCGCAGATCTGATGGATTGAGGTTAGTATGCGGTATTTCTGGCAGACGTCCTATAAGGAAAATTGGATAGTTGAGGCATCTAGAGGTTTTGAAGTGGCTGTGCTTCTCATACAGCTAGAATGGCTTCATTCCTGGTTTCTTTTAAAAAGTAAATTTGTTTATTTATTTATTATTTATGTTTGGCTGTGTTGGGTCTTCATTGCTGCGCGGGCTTTCTCTAGTTGCAGCGAGCAGGGGGTGCTGAGGTGCGCAGGCTTCTCCTTGCTGTGGCTTCTCTTGTGGCGGAGCGCTCGCGCTCTAGGTGCAGGGGCTTCAATAGTTGTGGCGCGCAGGCTCTAGAGCTCAGGCTCAGTGGTTGTGGCGCGCGGGCTCTAGAGCTCAGGCTCAGTGGTTGTGGCGCGCGGGCTCTAGAGCGCAGGCTCAGTAGTTGTGGTGCGCGGGCTTAGTTGCTTCGCCGCATGTGGGATCTTTCGGGACCAGGGACTGAACCCGTGTGCCCTGAATTGGCAGGCGGATTCTTAACCACTGCACCACCAGGGAAGTCCCAATTCTCGGGCTTTTTGAGAAAAAAATTATTATTAGAAGAAGTCTTATTGGAGGTGTGCCCTGAGGGGCAATGTACTATTTTGGCAGAAAAATCTTTTAAATGTGAAGTAACGTGAGGTATAATCATCCTTTGTAAGGTAGGAGCCTACACCAGTAATCTTGGCCATTTTCATTCACACTTACCAGGAAACCCTCCACTTTTGTTTATGGAGATGGAAATAGCTAAGAGTATGCCATTATGTATGGAGAGTATTTCCTCTTGGCTTTACTGCCAGTTTCAGAAACTCTTTGAAGCAGATAATTTTGACTGTATCTGCCCATTTGTCCATTTCTAAAATTGGTATAGTCCCCTCCTGCATTAACAAGTGGGGATTTAATGCAGATTTTTATTGAACACTGTGTGAGGAAGGGTGCTTGCTGCTAAAGTGAAATACAGATCCCTTCATCATTCACTTTTCTAGACGTCTACTGATGGTGAGTAACGCAGAAATCATTAGCATCTTGTCTGCTTAATTAAGGCCTGAAAACGCTGAGGCTTTCGCCGGCACCTTGAGCGGGCAGTTGTCAGGGTTTTCTGGGGCGCACGCGGGTTTGCACACGGGTTTGCAGGAGTGGAGGCTGGCGTTGCTAGGGGATTAGTGGCACCGAAGACACATGCCTCCACCTCCCTGCCCTCCCCCAGCACCTCCCTGCCCTCCCCCAGCAATCAGATTACGGGCCTGTGTGTTTCTGCCTCTCAGGTTTTACATACAAATGTTCCAGACTTTCTGCAGGATTTAAAAACCAAAACCTGCCTTTCCTCTCTGGATCAGCTAACCGACTTGTAAACTGTATGGACCTTTTCCTCTCTTTCTATAGCCCTGTTACTACTGGGAACTTTACTTTCTCTCTGGCCAGCATTCGCTAAGTAAATCCAGCAGCTTTGGAACTTTTCAGCCAGTGGGGTCCTAAATTGAGCTGTTGTTGTTTCAATTCCATTTTTTCCCCTGTGAATTCTACAAGTAGAAACTGCAACTAAATGGCCCCATGAAACCCAAGTCCAATGTTCCTCCATTAACCTAAAAAATTCCTTTCATAAGTCAACAGACTCCAAGAGCCTGAATCAGTCTTCCTCAAAGACCAGCCAGGTCTCAGAGAGGGGGCTTTCCTTTGCTCTCTAGATGTAACTGTAATGATAACAGCCATCAAAACATTTCATTGGTTTCTGCCTTTTTTTTTTTCTTTCTTTCTTTGTCTCTTATTTTAGAAACAGTCTTTAAAACCTTACTCTGAAGAAGGGGAAGGGTGGGGGGTTGGAGGGGAATAGGTAGCCGCAGCCCATTTGCAGTTAAGAAAGGCGGCCTAATGCAGTACCTGCAGAGCCAGGGATCTGACCCCGTCCTTCGATTTCATGCGCATCGTAGCAGCTGCGAAAGACATAGTTTATTTACTGTGTACCAGACTCTGCACCCAGCACCTTATGCTCTTGAACTCCTTTGACGCTCACAACCACCTACAAGGGGCATGCTGTCATTACTTGCATTTTGCAGGTGGGGGACGTCGACATGCAGTGAGGTTAAAGTACAAAACTTGCCCAGTATCGTGCAAACGCTAAAGGAGGGGCTGAGATTGGTCCCCGTAGTCTGAGTCTAGATGCCGCGTCATAACTGTGTAATCCTAGACTTCTTTCCCCATACACAATTTGTAGTGGCACAGGGGTTAAGTCTCCACGCTCCCAATGCTGGGGGCCAGGGTCCGACCCCTGGTCAGGGAACTAGATCCCACAGTGCATGCTGCAACTAAGACTTCACATGCCACAACTAAGGAGACTATGAGCCACAACTAAGGAGCCCGCTGGCCACAACTAAGACCTGGCCCAACCAAATAAAATAAATATTTTAGAAAAAGAGCATTAAAAAAAAGAAAGAAAGAAAGAAATGGATCGTCCAGTAACTTAATAACGACACTAAATTGCATGGTTCTTTTCTCAAGTGAAATTCACCAAGAGGCCTATGTCTGAGTCTTGTGGGCAGGTGGCCCCAAGGTGGAATATTTCCTGGAGTTTGGTGCTTGTGCTCCAGGTTGATGGGAGCCTGTGGCTTTTATTTAGCCCTGTGTGTCGAACGCATTGAAGGCTTGTGCTTTCAAGAACCTGAAACACTTGTCAGAGAGAGGCTGCTTCCAGGAGCACAGTAGTTTAGGTAGACATACATACCTTTTCATTTTCTTAGGTCTCTTAAGTCCTTTTATCTTTAATCCTTTGGAATGGTGTTGTTCCAAAATCCTGAGTAACAGCATCATTGTTTACCCTTGACTTACCTTCTTTTTCTCATTTGCAGATCCCCAAGTGTGGCTCCTGTTTTGTATAGAAGAACTGAAATACGGTTTTGGCTAATCAGAGTTAGTCGACCTTGCCCATGTCTTGCTTATGATAGATTTGGCTTCCCTGGCTTCTTTATATAACCACAACTTCTAGAGAGTCACTGATCTAGATATTAAGTCAACATTCTTGAGTCTTTGAGATGCATGCTTTGTACTGTTAAAGAATCCTGGTCACAGGAGGGGACAGCTGATCACAGGTTAAAGGAATCTTCTCTTTTCTCATACCCGTCCTCAGCAGAAAGAGGGTTTGAGGTTTGCCATCTCCCTTGTAAATGAGCTGTTATTTGTGTCAGAATTATTCCTGAAACTTGACTTATCATCATCACCTTTGCTTAGATTAAAATCCGTGTGACATGCCTCTGGCTTCAGGGCCTGAATTTTATTTGCAAAGTTAGCTCCTGAATTTGGTAAAGGAGTTTTTTGTTTTTAAGTAAATTTCCATTTTAATTTTATTTATTTATTTACTTATTGGCTGCGCTGTGTGGCTTGCGGAATCTTAGTTCCCCAACCAGGGATTGAACCCGGGCCACCACAGTGAAAGTGCTGAGTCCTAACCACTGGACTGCCAGGGAAGTCCCAAGGAGTTTCCTTTTTTAAAAAAAAGCCACCCATGGCCTAAAAGCCACAGAGATCATGCAGGGAAGATTGTCCCCTGTGGCAGGGTTGGAAACGGTCAAACGAGCGCCGAACTAAAGGTTATCTGAAGTCCCTTTCTTCACTGTCTGCGCACTTGACCTCACACACACTGTGGCCAGAGCCCTTATTTTATTTGTTTGTTTGTTTTTGCGATATGCGGGCCTCTCATTGCTGAGACCCCTCCCGTTGCTGGAGCACAGGCTCTGGACCGCGCAGGCTCAGCGGCCATGGCTCATGGGCATGTGGCATCCTCACGGACCGGGGCACGAACCCGCGTCCCCTGCATCGGCAGGTGGACTCTCAACCAATGCGCCACCAGGGAAGCCCACCCTAATTTTATAAACAGAATCGTATAGAAGCCTGTTCCCAATCTTTTCGTGTCAGTTTCCCATTGATCTCAAATGCAAATACAAATACAGTAAACTAAGTAGTTGAGGTTTCTTTTGCAGACTCTCTGGAGAGCCTGACAGTGATGGAGTTCATGAGCACTGGAAGTGACAGCAAAGAAGAAATCGATTTATTAATGAAACATTTGAACGTGTCTGATGTAATAGACATTATGGAAAATCTTTACGCGAGTGAAGAGCCTGTGGCCTACGAACCCAGTCTGATGACCATGTGTCAGGACAGCAATCACGAGGAAGAGGGGCGTGCCGACTCCGTGCTGCTCAGCGGCCAGGAGGGGCCTTGGCTGTCATCGGTCCGATATGGAACCGTGGAGGATTTGCTTGCTTTTGCAAACCACATATCCAACACCGCAAAGCGTTTGTACGGACACCGACCACAAGAATCTGGAATTTTATTAAATATGGTATGTGTTTTCCTGATCAGTTGAGTGCTATGTGTTCAGCTTACTACTGCTGCTGCACTTAATGCTGAGTGGGATTTGAACTTGGTTCAGACTGGCTGCCAGGTATGGTTTTTAAAAATGGAATATCTGTAAGAGTCACCTCCATGTGAAAGGTGCAAAAAACAGTCTTCGTTAAAAGTTCCATTTATAGAATCTTTTCCATATTTTAGGAGTAGTTCTACAAATAGGTAATTAAGAAGAATGAATTTTAATTTAACAATTCACTGAAGAGCTCATTTGTCAATTAGGCCGAAGAGAAAGGCTTCCTGAGATTCCTTCATCTGAGAGAGGAATAAAGACTTTGTCTTTAATGAACATGTATTTTTTATGTAGTACAGTTGATGTATAATTTTTTATAAGTTATAGGTGTACAATATAGTGATTCACAATTTTTGGAGGTTAGACTCCATTTATATTATTACGAAATATTGGCTGTATTCCATGTGTTACATGGTATATCCTTGCAGGTTATTTTATACATAATAGTTTGTGTCTTTTAATCCTCTACTCCTTTCCCCTTCCCTCTCCCCACTGGTAACCACTAGTGTGTTCTCTATATCTATGGTCTGTTTCTTTTTTGTTATATTCACTCGTTTGTTTTATTTTTCAGATTCCACGTATAAGGGATAGCATACAGTATTGGTCTTTCTCTGTCTGACTTATTTCACTTAGCATAATACCCTCCAAGTCCATCCATGTTACTGCAAATGGCAAACTTTCATTCTTTTTTATGGCTGAGTAGTATTCCATTGTGTGTGTGTGTGTGTGTGTGTGTGTGTGTGTGTGTGTGTGTGTGTGTAGAACACATCTTCTTTATCCATTCATCTGTTGAGGGACAGTTGGATTGCTTCCATTCCTTGGCAATTGTAAATAACGCTGCTATGAATATTGGGGTACATGTATCTTTTCAAATTTGTGTTTGCATTTTTTCGGATATATACCCAGGAGTGGAATTGCTGGATCACATGGTAGTTCTTTTTAGTTTTTTGAGAAACCTCCATACTGTTCTCCACAGTGGCTGCACCAATTTACACTCCCACCAACAGTGCAGGAGGGTTCCCTTTTCTCCATATCCTCTCCACGTTTGTTATTTGTGTTTTTTGATGATGGCCGTTCTGACAGGTGTGAGGTGATACCTCATTGTGGTCTTGATTTGCATTTCCCTGATGATTAGAGATGTTGAGCATCTTTTCATGGGCCTGTTGGCCATCTGCATGTCCTCTTTGGAAAAATGTCTATTCAGGTCTTCTGCCCGTTTTTTAATTGGGTTGTTGTTTTTTTGATGTTGAGTTATAGGAGCTGTTTACATATTTTGGATATTCATCCCTTCCTCATTGGTTGTATCATTTGCAAATATTTTCTCCTGTCCAGTAGGTTGTCTTTTTGTTTTGTCAATGGTTTCCTTTGCTGTGCAAAAGCTTTTAAGTTTAATTAAGTCCCATTTGTTTATTTTTGCTTTTATTTCCTTTGCTTTAGGAGACAGATCCAAAAAATATTGCTACAATTTATGTCAAAGAATGTCTGTTTAATTTTTTTGAAGGCTGAATTTTTGTGCTCCTCTCTTGTCACATCTTGAAACGTCACGATATTAATACTGGCTAAATTCAGTTCTTGCAGAAATGTAGTTTGTGGGCAGTAAATAGTTATCCACAGATTCACTCTCTTTAATTGACAAAGTATGAATGACAAGGGCTATACTTGTTTAGTCAACCCAAGTATCCAAATAATCCAAAATATTATGACAACATTTAGTTGCCACAGTAGGGGATCAGGTGATGTGTTTGGGTGTGGTCAGTGTCTTAGTCTCTCAAAGGTGAATGTAAGTGCTGGCTAGAGGTGATGTAATTTTTTAAAAAGGACAATTCACAAAGGAGTGGGTGGGAACTTGCAAAACACGCTTATTGATGAAAGTGCCTCCTTTCCTTTGGTGTATCTAAATGGCAAGAAGGCTAATGTATGGGGGGTGGTGCCGAACAAGTAAAGATTCTGGACCGAGTACTTAATTATTATTATTATTTTTTGCATACCACATTTGTTCAGTTCAAAACAGCACAGTGATTTAGGTCAGCTGTGTAGTGAATTGTTTTGTTAGAAGCCAGTTGTGTTCAGCTATAGCTCAATTTGCAGCAGAATTGCAAAATTACCTTCCCCCCCCCCACCAAAAAAAGATTACATTTTGCATCATTGTATGACTTGCTTTGGTCTGGATATACCAAACTGTACTTGATAGTTAACTTTGCCTTGAGAAGAGTACTTCTGTTTATAAATGGGAAGTCATAATTTGAACAAGGGTTAATACCTGTTTGTCTTAGCTAAAATATAGCTGGAGAATTCTGGTTCAAAATAATATATATATCTATAATCAGAAACATAATTGTTTATGTATTTCTCTCTCTTTTTTTTTTTACGTATTTATTTGTTAAAATGGGTGTCTTAAAGGAAAACATGCAGAATAAACACATTATTTTTGCTTGTAAATATGTAGAGACTTGGGCTTATTTCCCCTGGACTATCAGACTGATGAGAGATGGGCCATAGAATTGGGAATGTG